CCGGGGGGAATGCGGTCAGGAGAGGTCAGCCCGCCAGCCATTTCTTTTTTTTTTTTTTTTAATTTTTTTTAATGTTTTATTTATTTCTAGGAGAGAGAGAGACAGCGTGAGCAGGGGAGGGTCAGAGAGAGAGGGAGTCACAGACTGAAACAGGCTCCAGGCTCTGAGCTGGCAGTCAGCACAGAGCCTGACGCGGGGCCCGAACCCACGAACCGCGAGATCATGACCTAAGCGAAAGTCGGACGCTTAACCGACTAAGCCATCCAGGCGCCCCCCGCCAGCCATTTCTTGACGACTACGTCCTGTGTGCAGGACTACGGCAATTGCAGTTCTAGGAAGGAGACAAGAAGTAAAAAGAAGTGTTCTCCAGCCACCTAGAAGCTTCTCACTGCACAGGAGCACTCTCCAGGCCCATTCCATTTTTGGCTTAAAAAGAAGTTTTTTAATGTTTATTTATTTTTCAGAGAAAGAGAGAGAGAGAGAGAGAAACAGAGTGTGAGCAGGGGAGGGGCAGAGAGGGAGACACAGAATCCGAAGCAGGCTCCAGGCTCCGAGCTGTCAGCACAGAGTTCCACTCAAGGCTTGAACGCATGCACTGTGAGATCTTGACCTGAGCAGAAGTCAAGATGCTTAACTGAATGAGCCACCCAGGCATTGCCCATTTTTTGCTTTTAAAAAACAAATTCAGGGGTGTCTGAGTGGCTCAGTTAGTTGAGCGTCCGGCTTTTTGATTTCAGCTTGCATCGTGATTCCAGGGTCGTGGGATCGAGCCCTGTGTTGGGCTCAGAGCTGAGTGTAGAGCCTGTTTAAGATTTTCTCTCTCTCTCTCTCTCTCCCTCTGCCCCTCTCCCCTCACTCCCCTAGGTGTGCACATGTACACTCTCTTTAAAACACACACAGGCGCACACACACACACTTTCACTAACTAATTAGTTGGTAAGCCTTTGACAGGTAATCACTTGTTTCCCCATTTCCGTTTCGAAAGTGAGTTTCAGAGAAGGCTGCCAGGATCATCTGACGATGCCTTGAAGGAGAAATGGCATCTTAACTCATTCTCAAGATGCTAGTCACGTGGCCGTGGCCAGGACGTCAGGGCGGTGAGCCGAGAACAAGGAACTGCTCTTGGAGATGGCTCTCCTGTCGGATCAGCACATCACTCCCCCTGATGCATAAAGGCTTAGGGGAATAAGTGTGCAATTAGGTTACAGTGTCCCTTGCCCTCAGCCCCCCTCCTCGGCCCCAGCTGTCGAGTCCATCCTGTATAATCATCACTTACATTACCGGGGCTGTGTCTGGAAAGAATCGAAGAGTTTGACCTTCAAGAGGCAAGCCTCCAGGGGAGAGGAATTTCTATTTTCGGGATGTGGATAATGAGCTTCGGGGGTAGGCAAGCCCTGCTCCAGGATGCGTGTCTTCGTGCAGCTGGGCAAAGTAGGGCCCTGGCCCCTCTTCTGCCCCTGAGCTACCACCCCCCACAAATGGCATCAATGCAGGGACCCCGAGCGGCGTCAGGATTTGGATAAAGGAGGACGCATGTCCCAGGTGGCCACCAGGGGTCAGTGGGGTGCCAGGATCGGGCGGTCCCAGCGGCAGTGTAAGCTTCTCTGGGTCCCAGTGGGAAGGGACCTCACCTTCCCTGCCCGGCAGGGTCCACCCTCAGGTGGGAGGGGCGGCCCCAGACCACTGGCGCAAACGCACTGCCCAGCTTGGCTGGGTCCGGCCCACTGTCTGTTTGCTTTGGGAACGACCCAAGGACGCATCTTAGCTTTTGAAAGAGGTGAAAGTGGAAAACATTGCACAACTTTATAAAGCCCCCGGAAAACTGCGTACACACCCATCCCCTTGGCTTGGATCCTGCTTGATCTGCTGTCCGGCTCCCCAACTTCAGAGGGCCAGGTCTCTCTTCCTGATTCCCAGAAGTTTCCCTTCGGGGACCTGCGGCGGGCGGCTGGACGTGGCTTTCCTGCCCTCGGATGAAGACCCTTACCAGTTGCCCTGGGTCTCGGAACCAGTATAAATGAGCAAGTGGGCACGGTTGGGTGGGGTGACGGGCTGGCTGCAGCCTCAGGAAGGGACAATCTCTCCCCTGGCAAGTTTCCAGGATGCTGGGCTGGCCACTGGCGAGCAGGCCAGACAGAGGCTGCTTTGGGCCCAAACCGGAGCTGATGTCAGTGAGAGCCTCTGGAATGTTCCCGGCCACAATTTTCCGTGTGGCTGGTCTGGTTCGGCCTTTCCACAGAGGACTAGAGGCAGTCAGATCACATGACAGGGGCCGAGAGGACCGCGCACTTCCTTTTGGTGCCCAGAGGGCCCATGCCCTGTGGCAAACCCTTCCGGCAAAGCCGAGCGGTGAACGCTGCCAGGCCGAAAAGGGACGGGCTGGTCTGCTTCCCGTCCCTTCCTCTGGTGGAAAGTTGGGGTTTTGAAATCCTGGAATTACTATGTGGAGCCAAGATGCCAATTTTTCTCTCGGGTCATTTTCAAAATTGGAAACCGGGATTCTTTGTAGGGACCTCGACCCTCGAAGTCAACAGACTCACGTGTGGATGCCACCCAAAGCGTTTTCACCCCCACATGATAAGACACTCATCTGGGGGAAAGCAACCTCCTAGTGTGTGTTCACTTGGGAGCGCTGGGGAGGGGGTGATGTCGGAAAGTTCTGCACTCAAGCCAGATCCAGCTCCCAGAATTTCCCTCCTCCTCCGTGGTTGGCAGGATCGCAGCCCCCCAAAATGTCCAGGTCATAATCCCGGGTGCTGGTGAACATGTTACCTTATATGGCAAGAATATGAAGAAGCTTAAGAAGCTTTAAATTAAGGCCCTTGAATGGCGAGATTGTCCTGGGTTATATGGGCGGGGCCGATGCAATCACTGGGCTCCTTTGAGGAAGAAGGAGGTAGGAAGGTCAGTCAGAGATGCGACAACAGAAGTAAAGGTCAGACAAAGATCTGAAGTCCTGTGCTACCGGCTTCAGAATGAAGAGAGGGTCTGGGCAAAGCAATGCACGTGGCCTCTAGAAGCCGAGACAGGCGAGGCAGTGCAGCCTTGCTGATCCACTCGAAACTTCTGACCTCTGGAGCTGGAAGACGGTAAATCCGGGCCACAAGAGGAACCTAATACGCGAACACAAAACTCAGCTTTGTTCTGGGAAGGGCTGGGAAACCAACCCATCTTCTCAGGAAGCCAAAGACGGCATAAGTCAAGGTGTAAGGCAAGATCTGAAAGCCGAGGGAGCAGTGTGCAAGCCTGGGCGTGCAAGGAAGTGTAGCAGACATCAACAACCCCTCCCAACAGATGACACCAGGAGAAGGGTGGCTCCGGCTTCCAGACACCCCTTGCCTCCAACACCCACGGGGTTCAGGACACCTAGTATTTGCACATTTTTTTAAAAAGTTGTTTAAGTTTATTTATTTATTTTGAGAGGGAGGCAGCGCAAGTTGGGGAGGGGCAGAGAGCCAGGGGGAGAGAGAATCTGAAATAGTCTCCAGGCTTTCAGCGCAGAGTCCAGTGCGGGGCTTAAACTCACGAAACTGAGATCATGACCTGAGCCTAAGTCAGACACTAAACCTACTGAGCCACCCAGGTGCCCATAGTATTTGTACATTGTTTTGACTGAAAATGTGAAACATTTAAAAAGTGATACATTAATTCACACTAGATTCCTAATAACTCATTGGTTTTCCCTCCCACAGCAATTTGCATTTGAAAAAGAACATGCCCACAAAAGATAACACAGGACCCCAAAGAACAAATCCAGGGGTGCCTGGGTGGCTCAGTGGGTTACGTGTCAGACTTTGACTCAGATCATGACCTCACGGTTTGTGAGTCTGAGCCCCACCTCGGGCTCAATGCTGGCAGAGCAGAGCCCACTTTGAATCCTCTGCCCCCTCTGACTCTGCACCCCCCACTCTCATGTGCTCCTCTCTCTCTCTCAAAAATAAAGAGACATTAAAAAAAGAAGAAGAAGAAAAGAAAGAAACACGTGGAGCCAAACCTCTCACAGGAAGAAGGCCATGTGTAGACGGAGGGCAGAGATGGGGTGCTGCTTCTCCAGGCCAAGGAAAAGCGAAGTTGGCCATCAAACTAGCAGAGCTAGGACACAGGCCTGGGCCAGAGCCTCCCCGGTGGCCTCGCAGGCGGCCAGCTTGTGGGACTTTGTGAAAAAGACCCCAGGAAACTGGAATTGTCCTCAGATGCTGGGGAGGCATCTGCAGGGAGTGGAGTGGGCGTGGCCCGCGGGCCTCCACACTGAGGGAGTTCCAGAAGCTCATCATCCTGTTAGGGCACTAGAATCAGCAGGCGGGCAGGTGAGGGTGGAAGGCAGAACCCCGAGGAGACAGGTGTCCCCGGCCTTAACGAGGAAACCCACAGGGACCAGGAGGCGCCCGAAGGGTAGAGCAAAACTCATCCCACCTCACGCTCAGGGCAGATAAACTACGGCACAAACAGAAACTCTGAACACTCCCTGTGAGCAGCCAAGAATCCTGTGTGACCAGTCTGTCCTCCTCGGGTCTCCAAAGGTGGCACACCCCACCACCCACAATGCCTGGCATGGTCACGAGCATCTAGGAAACTCTCCCCGGAACGGAAGGCCACACCTGGGACTATTCTAGGACACAGTCTTTTTTTTTTTTTTTTTTAATGTTTTATTTATTTCTAGGAGAGAGAGAGAGAGAGACAGCGTGAGCAGGGGAGGGTCAGAGAGAGAGGGAGTCACAGACTGAAACAGGCTCCAGGCTCTGAGCTGGCAGTCAGCATAGAGCCCGACGCGGGGCTCGAACCCGTGAACCTCGAGATCATGACCTGAGCGAAAGTCGGACGCTTAACCGACTAAGCCACCCGGGCGCCTCTCTAGGACACAGTCTTAAGAGGAGTGTGCAGAGTTCGACGCCTCCCCTTCCCTGCCCCCCCCCCCCCCCCCCCCCCCCCCCCCCCCCCCCCCCCCCCCCCCCCCCCCCCCCCGCACCCACCCACCCCCGGGCCTCCCAGGCAGAAAGGACTCAAGGTCAAGGAAGGCCTCGAGGCTCTGCAATTCAAGTTGAGGGAGGATTGCTTCAGGGGATGGAGGAGGGATGGTGGGAATCCTATCCTAATAAAAGCAAGTCATATGCCGTCGGGCAGCCTCGGCCCGCGTTTCCAGAGAGCTGAAGCTGGGCCCAGGAAGTCGCTGCTTGCTTTCCCAGAAAAAGAGGGGCTGCCAGGTGTGTCTCTGGGCTGCCCGCAAGGAGGAAGAGGTGGCTGGGAGAGATGGAAAGGCAGTCTCTTTGACCCTCAAGACAGGTATTACCTTCAAGCCGAGCTACCCAGTGGCAATCAGGTCAGATCAAGCCTGAGGCCGAGCCCATGGCGGGCCTTGCTGGGCAGGGGGGCTAGTTGGTTAATCAGGACTTGGGGGAGAAAGCCTGGAGGGCTTCAAGATGTTTCTCTTTCTCTGGGAGACCCCTGCACAGCCGGGTCATTGGGGCAGCTCTGTGGCAAGTGACCTTCCAGGTCAATCGATACTCAGACATCAGCGAGAGGCCTGGGGTAGGCTCAGTCTTCCAAGGTGGGGGGTCGGGGCTCCCGGGTTTGCTTCTCAGCTCTGTTGGGAACTGGCTTGACAGCTTGGGCAGGACCCTTCACCTCTCAGGGTTTGGGTTCCCCCGATTGTCAAAGGGCCACACGCATCTTGTTCTTGCCCAGGCCTGTCTCTTGGGCCAGGGATGCTGATGGGTGAGTTCTGCGGACAGATAAGGTTCTTTAGAGAGAGGCTGGAGAGAGGCGGCTTAGGAGCCGGGAGGTGAATGACAAGAATGAGGGGGTTACAGCGGAGGCCAGAGGTGAGGGGGGCAGGGGAAGAGGCGCCAGGCAGGACAGAGGAGCCATTGTGCAGACTGGAACCCGAGCCAGAGAGCTTTGCCCTTCACCTCCCTCCCACTGGGCCCCGGGAAGCCGGATAAAGGACCCAGCAGGCTGCCCCGCCTCCCCTCGCCCGCTAGGTTTCTGGTCAACCCCGCCTCCACCCCGACTCCGGCGGGGCTCCAGCCAGGGGCGCGCGGAGGAAGAGCGGGACCCGGAAGCAGGCGAGCTTTCTCACCACGGACTCGGGCACAGCCACATCTTCCCTTCCCTGTGCCTCAGTTTCCCGCCAGACTCCAAGGTTTAAAGCAGCGGCTCTACAGGGCTGATGGGGGCGAGGGGGAAGCTGGCCCCGGCCTTCTCCGGAGCCGCCTCCCTCCAAGGCTGAAATCTCAGGGACACCGCCCGGCGCCCCGCTTTTTCCAAGGCGCCTAATCCAGACTTCGGCCCTAGCCTGCGCCAGCCGGGAGGAGCGGGGAGGAGGCGCGGGGGGCGGGGGCTCAGGTCCCCGCGCCCCCGCGCTGAGCCGCCGCCGCCGCTCGCGTCCCCGCGTCGCGTGACCGCGGCACTGCGGCGGCAGCGCTGCCCTTCCCTCCTCGCGCCGGATTCCCGGGGAGTGGGGGTGGGGGGCCCGGAGGTCCAAGACCAGACGGCGGCCGCGGCGCTGCGAGAGGGTGAGGGTGTTCCAGCTCCTTCCCCACCTTCTTAGTTTAACGGAGTTTCTCGACCCTCGAGCGCATCGCTGAGTCACCTTCTCGGAACGCGCTCGGGACGCTCCGGACCCAGCCAGGGCAGCCCGGGGGCCGCGCAAGGCGGAAGCGCGCATCGCCGCGCCGCGCCGCGGGTCCCCGGGGCCGCGCCTCCCCCTCGCGGGGGACCTCGGGCTCCGCCCCCCAGGTGCCGGGAAACCGCGGTCGGGTGTCTGCGTTCCCCCGCAGAGACCCCGCGGACGCGTGCCCGAGTCACGGGCGCCGCCGGACCTGCCTCATCTCGACTTTCGGGGGGCGTTGAGAAGTGCCAGGTGTGGGGGGGCCGGGGGGCTGCAGGTGCGCGCGCAGGGCCCGGATCGCCTCCGCCCCCTACAGCGGTCAGGCCTTTTCTAACTTTGGCCCCCCTGGTCGGGTCACCTAGGCTTTGACACCTTCCTGCTCCGGGTCTCCGCAAACAACCCCCCGGGGACTTAACTCGAGTTGGCCGCGGACACGATCAGGTCAGATACTTCCTCATGATATGTATGTATATCACACACACGCGCGCACACACTGACACACGCGTCCCCGTTTGTCGAAGTGAAGATTCCCGGGTGCGCTGGCATCTTCCCGCTGGGCCAGTGGAGGCGGCGGGGGACACTCCCCCGCGGTTCGGCTCTCCAACCCCGACGGGGACCCCTAGACCTTGTTCACACCTCACGGCGGGTGAGGGGCGTGGACCTGGATCGCCTGCGGCGGGGCAGCTTCTCTCGCGCAGGTGAGCCTCGATGGTTTCCTCCGGGGAAAAAGATCCAACTTCTAAGGTTCTTGACAAGGCCCCGTCTTCCGGACAGCAGCCACCCCCCACCCCAGCGGGGGGCCGCCTGTACCCCCCTCTTACCTACCCCCCCCCCCCCCCCCCCCCCCCCCCCCCCCCCCCCCGCCTCCCGATGGCGAGCCCGGCGGCCCCGGGCATGGTGGCTGCGCGGCCCGGCTGCCGCGCCAGGAAGCCAAAAATAATCCTCCAGGGGAGAACGGGCGCAGGAGGAGGCACCCCGGCACAGAGGAGGGGTACCCGGTGGGATCTGGGCCTCCAATTCCCGTGGACCGGGGTGGGGCGCGCGAAGGGGGAAGATCCCGGGGCGGAAGGTCGCAGCGTCCAGGGGGCAGGCGAGTTCGCGCGCCGCCCGCGCTGCGCGTTCACCCTCGGCGCCCGGGACTCGGAGCTCGCGGCGCGCCTCTCGCGGTCGGACCCGGGCTCTGCGCGGCGCCGCCTCCAGCCGGTCGCCCACGGGGAGCGGCGGGCGCGCGCGGCCGGCTCCCGAGCCCCAGCCAGGCGTCTGCGCGTGGCCGAGCGGCGGGGGCTGACAGCGCGGGAGGCGAGGCCGGGGGCGGGCTGGCCCCGGCCGCGCCAGGCGCCGGTTCCACCCCCGAGAGCGCGGGCAGCGCGGGGTGTGGCCAGGCCGGGCGCCGGGGCACAGCGCCCTCCCAGCGCGGCGGCGCCTGGCGGCGAAGTTGAGCTAAAAGTTTGAGGCCAGAGGCGGCGAGGCCGTGGAGTCGGCGTTCGTCCGGCGCTGCAGTCGTCGCTCAGACGTGAGGCTGAGCCCGGGACGAGCGGAGTTCCGCCCTAGGCCACTGTAGGGAACGGAGGTGGCGCCTCCCCGGCAAACCGGACCGACTGGGTAGGGGCCGCCCGCCCTGCCTTCTCGCCGCTCGTGGCTCCTGGGCGCCCACTGGGCGCTCGGCTGAGGGAGGCGACGGGCGGCCGCGGGGCTCGGGCTCGGACCGCGCGCGACCCCGGCGCCGCTCTCACGAGCCAGGCGCGCGTCCGGGCAGCGTTGCGGGGCCTTGGGAGGAGCGCGGCGACCCCCGCCGCTCTGGAGCTCGGGGCGCCGGTCGCTGGCGCCGAACTTCGTGCCCCGCGATGCGCGCCCGAGTTCTGGGATTTTTACGCACCCGGACTCCCCTCCCTCTGGCAGTCCCGGGGGGGTGAGGAGCTGGTGCGACCGAGGAGGGCTCTCTGCCTCGTCGTCGGGCCGGAACCCGAGTTCCCAGAGAGGAGAGCCCCTTCGCCTCGGAGAGTGGAAGAGGGGAGGGGGCTCGGGTCTGGGACCGGAGCGCCCTTGGTGGCGCCAGACCTCGGCCCTCCGGACCGCTCGGAGGACTAGGCGATGCCGGAGAGCGAGGCTCCCCGCGCGCGGCCCGACGGTGTACGTGGGCGCTGCCCACCTCAGGACGCCGCTCCGGACTCCGCCAGCGCCGTCTCCTCTCCCTCAGATCCCGCAGCCGCAGGGAATGTCACCGGTACCTCCGCGGCCACGGCTGCGGGCCGGGAGGGCGAGCCCCTCAGCCGGCGCCGCGTCGCCCGCCTGGGCAGCACCGATAAGGAGCTGAAGGCAGGAGCCGCGGCCGCGAGCGGCGCCCCAACAGCGCTGGGGACGCCCTGGCAGCGGGAGCCGCGGGTCGAGGTTATGGATCCAGGTTTGTGGGGTCCCGGTGGGGGCAGGGCTGGGGGGGATGGGTGTCCCTTCCTCCCCCGCCAGGAAGAATGGCCAGCATCAGGGGGCAAAAAATGGGCAAAAAAGAGGGGCTGGGGACGGACAGTAGGAACACTTTTCCCAACGAGGGCAGAAGCTGGCCCGGCCTGAGCTAAGAGCTGGGGTGTCAAGGCCACGGTGCCCCCTCCCCCTCCTGGGGCTCCCCCACTGGAAGGCCGTAGCCTCTGGCGGGGATCTGTTGGATCAGTGAGCGGGGGGTGAGGGGGGTTTCATCAGGCCCCACGTTGCCACCCCAGGACCCCTTTTGTGATCCGCCGCCCCCTAGTGGCCGGTTGGGGACGCGGTCCTTGTGGTTTGTTTCCGCAGCGGGCGGCGACGCGAGGCTGCTGCCGGCGCGGTGCCGCCTGCTGGTCCTGTTAAACCCGCACGGAGGCAAGGGCAAGGCGCTGCAGCTCTTCTGGAGCCACGTGCAGCCGCGGCTGGCCCAGGCCGATATCTCCTTCACGCTGATGCTCACTGGTGAGTGCCGGCCCGAGGGGTCCCGCCGGGGAGCAGTCCCTGCCGGCCGCGCCCTAACCCGCGGGCCACCGCGTCTGTCTCTCGGCAGAGCGCCGCAACCACGCTCGGGAGCTGGTGCAGGGGCTGGAGCTGGAGCGCTGGGATGCGCTGGTGGTCATGTCTGGGGACGGGCTGATGTTCGAGGTGAGGCCTCCCCCGAGAGAGCGGGTGTGGGGGTGGTGGGAGGCCGGTGCTCCCCGGGCTGAGGCCGCCGGTGCTCCAACAGGTGGTGAATGGGCTCATGGAGCGGCCCGACTGGGAGACGGCCATCCGGAAGCCCCTGTGTAGCCTCCCAGCCGGCTCTGGCAATGCGCTGGCAGCTTCTTTGAACCATTATGCCGGGTGAGAGCCCAGGGTCAAGGGGGCCTCAGTTTCTCCTCCGTGCTCCCCCCTCCCCCCAGTTCCCGTACACTGGGGTAACTTGTGTTCCCTCTTCTCCGGAGCCTCTGTGCTCCGTTCCGGGCCCTCTCTTGGTGACTCCAGCTGGCTGCCTCCACCTGCTCCATCTGGCCTTTCTACCAACTCCCTGGGGACCCGGTGTCACTTTGCCCGCCTCAAGTCCCCAGGCAGGGGAAGGGGAGGATGCACGAGGGCTCCTGCCTTGCTCCGTCTGACCTCTCTGCCCTGCAGCTACGAGCAGGTGACCAAGGAGGACCTCTTGACCAACTGCACCCAGCTGCTGTGCCGCCGGCGCCTGGAGCCCATGAATCTCCTGTCGCTGCAGACGACCTCGGGGCTGCGCCTCTTCTCCGTGCTCAGCCTGTCTTGGGGCTTCGTCGCGGACGTGGACCTGGAGAGCGAGAAGTTTCGGCGTCTAGGGGACTTCCGCTTCACTCTGGGCACCTTCCTGCGCCTGGCAGCCCTGCGCGTGTACCGGGGCAGACTGGCCTACCTCCCCGCAGGAAGGGCGGTCCCCGGGATGCCCGGCCCCCCCGCCGCGGACAGGCGGGATCGGCAGGGTCCTAGGGATGCTCACCTCGTACCCCTGGAGGAGCCGGTGCCCGCGCACTGGACCGTGGTCCCGGAGCAGGACTTCGTGCTGGTGCTGGCGCTGCTGCACTCGCACCTGGGCAGCGAGATGTTTGCGGCCCCGATGGGCCGCTCTGCCGCCGGCACCATGCACCTGTTCTACGTGCGGGCAGGCGTGTCTCGGGCCACGCTGCTGCGCCTCTTCCTGGCCATGGAGAAGGGGAGGCACATGCAGCAGGACTGCCCCTACTTGGTGTACGTGCCCGTGGTTGCCTTCCGCCTGGAGCCCAAGGACGGAAAGGGCGTGTTTGCCGCGGACGGCGAGCTGTTGGTCAGCGAGGCCGTGCAGGGCCAGGTGCACGCCAACTACATCTGGATGGTCAGTGGCTGCGTGGAGCCCCCGCCCAGCCGGAAGCCTCAGCGGGGAGCACCTCCAGAAAAGCCCTTGTGACTCCACGGGGCCTTGCCGTGCCTTAGCCTCTCGGGCTCCTCCGAGCTCAGGACCCCTCTCCCCGTCCCCTGGGACTGGAGGCCCTGTCCCCAGCTCAGTGGTGATGGGGGGGAGGAGGAGGTGGAGGAGGACCCTTGGGGAAGGTGGGAAGGTGGAGGATGTGCTTTGGAAGGCCAGGCTCTGCCTACCGTAGGTCAGAATGAGACTCGGGGCGGGCGCCCAGCTGGTTGGGCCCCCCTGCCTATGGAAGCCACTCTCATTTTGTCCTGGGAGCCCCACCCACCATACAAATAAAGTGACCCTCCCAGCCTGCTGGTGTTATTCTGGGTGTTGGGGAGGAAGTGAGGTCTAGAACTTGACATTAGCGATGACCAGTGGTGCCTCCTGGATTGGACAAAGCAGGATACTGACCCCTGATAATAGTCATTTTGGTGGTGGGCACAGGACCAGGGCTAGTCTGGGTTTTTCTTTTTCTTTTTTTGGCAGGGGTTGGGCCCTGCCCCAAAGATCGTCCCGCCTTTGGCCTGGGAGAAGCCAGGGAGCTCAGCCAACAGCCTAGCCCCATGTGTCAGATGGACACTTGGAGCTAGCGTCTTACCCAGGGCCACGCAGCCAGCTAGTCTCCACGAAAAGGGAAAAAAAGTCTCTGATTTCAGGGACAATTAGGGAAATTGGCAAGAAGCAAGAAGGCCAAAATGGGAGGTAGCTACTCCCTTCGGAGAGGAGTCTGTTATCCCTCCAGTGAGGGCTCGAGGGCTCCCCCAGCCCCCTCCACCTCCTCTACCCCACCCTGCCGCCGCTGGGCAGGAGTTAAACGGCAGGAGGGGCATATACCAGGCTCCCAAATAGTAACTGTTTTGGCATCAAGCCCAGGCCAGGTGCTTGGACGTCCGCTCCCCCAGCATCTGGAAGCAACTGACCTGACTGATCCGGTCAACTACAGGCCCTGGCACCCCGGCTGTGCTGGCAGACATCGCTCCACACTGGCTCTTGAGAGTGGGACGCGAGCCCTGCCCACAAACGAGCACCGACCCGCTGAGCCACATCCCCGGCCCCCGGGCCCCCAAGGACCAGACAGGCAGAAGTCACAGAGGTAGACAGGGCAGGTGCGAGGCGCTGCGGCCATGAGCCTTCCTGGCAACGGGTCCTGCCTTCCCCTGGGGAGGGGTGTGTGAGGTGCCCCAGAGGGGAAGAAAGGCGACAGAGCCCAGATGAATGGCAGAGGCAGGTTTAATGGTGCCACCTTGTCTTTTTTTGTACATTGTAATGAGCCAAACGAAAAAAATGCAAGTAAAAAAAAAAAGTTTAATCACACAGCACTTTATACAGATATCTTAAGCAGTAGGCATTCACATCTCCACACGGACAACGCACTGGGAAGCACAGCCCCACCAGTCACTCTGGATGTTTCTCAAACAAGGTACCGACTCAGGGCTCCGAGCGCCACGGCCCGGCTCCGTCCTTCCCCACGGCTGCTGCCCGCTGGCTGGGGGTGGCACAGCACAGGCGTGGAGCCAGCTTAAGGCGGACAAGACGCATCATGCTTTGGCTTTTTTTTTTTTTTTTGTCTTTTTTTTTCTAGTAAGAGTTAATATCTTTGCTTTTGAGATTTATTTTCTTTCAACCTTAAATATTACATACATACACCAAAAATTACATAGCTGCAATGTGCTCAACAGCATCCTCTTAACCTGGGGCTTCACGTTATCAAAAGCTTAGAAAACTTTGTAAACCTCTGGGCCTGACTCTGCGAGGGAGAACCCCTGCCGGCCACCTCTCCCCCCAGACTGAGCCTGCAGAGTTTGTAAGCATCAGGAGGCCTCGTCCTCAACCGAGAGAGAGAGAGAGAGAGAGAGAGAGAGAGAAAGAGAGAGAGGGAGGGCCAGCTCCTGTGTCACCTCCCAGGGTCAGCATGTGGTGACGGGAGGGCACCTGCGGGCCTGGTCTGTGCCACTGCCCCGCCCCCAGCCACCTGGGCCACACGAGCAAGGCACCCACAGCTGTCTTCCTGTCCAGCAGCAACCTGGCCCTCATTCCACATCAGGCGCGACAGCCACCACCTCTCCCGCGGGTCACCCTGAACCCAGCCTGGTCCCAACCTCTCTTAGAGAGCAAGTTCAACAGGCCTGAGGGTCATCCTGTGGTCAACGGTCCAGAGCGGAGCCAGGAGTCGGTGGCGGCAGCCACGACTCCTCAGCTGCGGGGAGGGGCGGGACGAGGGAGGATCTGGAGGCGGCAGCGGCGGGAGGACCCGGGAGTGGGGAAGCTATGGGGGCACGGAAGAGGTGGCAAGGGCTGGGGGACGGGGCTGGGGGATCCGCTGGAGCAGCCCACACTTCATGCAAGGCACACCCACTCGTCCTGCGGCCGAGCTGCGCGGCTCGTGGGGCAGAGCGCGCCCCGTGCCAGGCCCTCGGAAGACCCCACCTCCGCCCCGACGGGGGACGGCGAGGGAGCAAGTGCCCGGACGCTCTGCCTGGGTGACAAGTGGAAAATCAGCAACAGGTTTCAGATTCTCTTCGCCACAGGGGACCGGCCTGTCGGAAGATTGCTCCGGAAAAGAAAACGGCAGCATCTCATGGAACTTCTTGCACTTCAGCATCAAACTCACCTCGGGGAGGGGGCAGCGAGGGGCTTCTGCGTTGGGGACAGAGGAGAAAATGGGAAGGAGGAAGGTTCCAGGGGAGGAAGGGAGCGGGCAGCAGCTGGCCTCTCCCCACACGACGCTCCTTCCTTGAGGGCTGGCGGCTACTTGTCCTCCGCGCTCTCTGGCATGCCCGCCTCTAGCAGGGAGGCCCGGAACTGCGCCAGGACACCCCGGATGCTCTTGATGAAGCCCTTGGAGAGCGGGAAGAGAGGGAAGCCGATGTCGGGATAGCCACTCTTCTCGGGCAAGAAGCTGCGGTAGCTCTTTCTCCGCTTCTTTGGTCTGACGCTGGGGGGCACCGGGGCGTCAGGCGCGGCCTCCGAAGTCTGGTCTGTGCGGTCCCTGCTGGCTGAGGCCAGGCCCTGGGTGCCGCCCTCCGAGTCTGAGCCCTGGGAGGCCTCTCCGGGGGCCAGCCCTCCGTCCTCAGCTTCGTCTCGGCCGTAGTCTGAGAGCTCGGCGGCGGCGGGTGGCTCCGGGGAGCTGCTGTCCTTGGGGACCCCGTTGGGCAGCGCCTGGGCCCTCTCCAGCAGGGCATGCGTTTCCAGCCAGGACTCGATGCGGTTCACCAGCCGCCAGCCACCGGTACGGAAGTGCTGCCGGATCTCCTGCTCGAAGACCTCGGGCGGCCGTCGCACCAGCTGCGTCATAGACTGCACCACGCGGATGAGCGCCATTTCGTTGTAGCAGCGACTGTTCTCATACCCCTCCTGCAGGCCCCGGTCGCTGTCGAAGCCCGCCTCGTTGTAGTAGGGTTCGTTCACCAGGATCAGACCTGGGGGTGGGGGGGTGGGGGTGCGGGGGCGCGAAGCCCG